GGAAGTTCCTTGATAATGTGAGTAGTCACGAAAGCGCTTGGAATTTCTCTATTCTTTCAGAGTGGTTGTTTTGCATATATATATATATATATATATATATATATATATATATATATATATATATATATATTATATATATATATATATATTATATATATATATATATATATATTATATATATATATTAATAATAATAATGATTTCGTCCCTTAGACGTTTACTGTGGTCATTATCTAGATAATGACTTCCAATGTGCAACGCCGATGTTAGACAAGGTTCGTCAAGAAACAGGACAAGTGTTTCTTGACGCGGGTCTCAGTCACACGATGATTCGCAGCTACAACTTTTGGTCATCTGACCAAGGCCTACCACTGGCTTACCCGTCCACCCCTTTAAAAAATATAGTTAAGTTTTATAACTAGTACAGCGCCGACTCTTTGTACCCAGTTATGAAAGCAAGTGGAGTTAATTAAGAAAGTAATTAAGGTTAGTTATGGAAGCCAGTAGTAATCAGAGCGTAAGTGGGTCCTGGTTTGCTCAGGTGGGTTGCTTAATTTGTTTTAAGGTTACCTACTACAGGAAGGTCATTAAGGCTGCTGCACGAAGCCTAGTCAATAATAAATTATATACGTATAAAAGATTACTTTGAATGTGTATTAATAAAACCACTGGATGGCGTAACATCTGTAACAAAGATACACAGATGTTATACATGTGTCTAATTCTTCATCACTTATTTTAATGTAATAATACTAAGGAAGATAATTACTGTGAAGATATGTAAGGAAATATATATGATTGGTTCAGTGATGCGAGTGTCGTCCTTATGACCTGGTCACCTGACCCACAGTCCTCTGGCCAGTAACTGGATGGGTGGCCGAGTGAAACATACACACACACACACACACACACACACCACACACACACACACACACACACACACACACACACACACACACACACAACACACACTGTGTGTGTGTGTGTGTGTGGCCCATATTGGAGTATGCGGCACCAGTTTGGAACCCACACCTAGCCAAGCACGTAAAGAAACTAGAGAAAGTGCAAAGGTTTGCAACAAGACTAGTCCCAGAGCTAAGAGGTATGTCCTACGAGGAGAGGTTAAGGGAAATCAACCTGACGACACTGGAGGACAGGAGAGATAGGGAGGACATGATAACGACATACAAAATACTGAGAGGAATTGACAAGGTGGACAAAGACAGGATGTTCCAGAGATTGGACACAGTAACAAGGGGACACAGTTGGAAGTTGAAGACACAGATGAATCACAGGGATGTTAGGAAGTATTTCTTCAGCCACAGAGTAGTCAGTAAGTGGAATAGTTTGGGAAGTGATGTAGTGGAGGCAGGATCCATACATAGCTTTAAGCAGAGATATGATAAAGCTCACGGCTCAGGGAGAGTGACCTAGTAACGATCAGTGAAGAGGCGGGGCCAGGAGCTCGGACTCGACCCCCGCAACCTCAACTAGGTGAGTACAACTAGGTGAGTACACCACCGCGGAATAGACAAGGTGGACAAAGACAGGATGTTCCTGGGAGGGGACACAGAAACAAGAGGTCACAATTGGAAGTTGAAGACACAGATGAGTCAGAGAGATATTAGGAAGTATTTCTTCAGTCATAGAGTTGTCAGGCAGTGGAATAACCTAGAAAGTGATGTAGTGGAGGCAGGAACCATACATAGTTTTAAGACGAGGTATGATAAAGCTCATGGAGCGGAGAGAGAGAGGACCCAGTAGCAACCGGTAAAGAGGCGGGGCCAGGAGCTAGGACTTGACCCCTGCAACCACAAATAGGTGAGTACACAGGTGCTGCTATCCAGAGGATTTACCCAATCACGAGAGTAAAAGTTAGGATTAGCATCATCAGAGAGTTGTGAAGCAACTGCGAACAATTATCGCAGGATTCCTGTCTGTCATCGTTCATTTGTGGGTGTCTTGATTTGGTGAAGGGCTCTTGATTCAAGGAATTGGAGCTGTCCTTCCTTTTCTAGGATTGCTCATGATTACCTCCCCTTTAAGGGAAGTTCCTTGGCGCTGGTGAAGGGCTCTTGATCTAGGGAATTGGATCTGTGCTCCAGTTCCTTGAATTAAGCCTGAATAAGTTCCATCCCTCCCCACACAGGCGCTGTATAATCCCTACGAGTTTAGCGCTCCCCCATGATAATAAAATCATGATTGCTTCACATTGACTATCCCCAGATAAGGTTTAAATCCTATCGACCACACGAAGGTTATCAAGGCTACATGTCACGTGCTTATTATCAGTCAAGAATGCTTTAATACCTTAAATATGTGAATTAGACACATGTACAACACTTAAGTATCTTTACTGAGGAAACGTTTCGCCACACAGTGGCTTCATCAGTCCAGTACAGTGAAGAATGGTGAATATCACAAGGAGTTTGAGGTAATCAGTCCCTCAGCCTTGAGTCGATGCAATCAGTCCATCAATCCTAAAAAGAATACAGCAAATGCGCGAAGTGGCTTATATACTGTAGACAGGTGAGGTACAGTAGTCGTAGGTGGGATCACAGTGGACAAACCCACACGTAGTAGGAGGTCATGACTATAGGTTAGGCAACTGAAGAAATCCCTGTATTAAGATCCCAGGATGTTGTGTCTGACAGGAATGTAGACAAATGGTTCAGAGAACCATCAAGTTGACAAATTAGACACTTATGTCTAATTTATCAATTAGACACGCGTGTCTAATTTATCAGTTAGACATGTGCCTAACTTATCAATTAGACACTGTATAATATATCAGTTAGACACATGTTTAATTTATCAGACACGTGTGTCTAATTTATCAATTAGACACGCATCTAATTTGTCATTTGTCTACAATCCCCACGGTGTATATACAGTGTCATACAAAGGTGTGTATCCTCATATCCTTCAGGACAGCAGATAAGATTTAAACCTAATGTTTTAAATGCATTAACTAAAAAATAAACTATTCGTTACTCCTGTATTATACTCAAACTTACACTATTGTTAACACTTTTAAGCTCACTTAAATGAGCTTATTAGCAAACCACTCGAGGTTCAGCTTAAAGAGGTCACACAACACACTTCAGAGTATTGCCTCGAGTTATACCTTGAACAATAATCTACTGGCAATTAGTTTTTCCATTATCTTCTTTAAAATAGACTGTGTGTATGTGAAGGAGACAGTGTTTGTGTATTTTTCTTACGAATTCCTTGCATTGTTAAAATCTCTAGCTTGGTGGATGCATGCAGGGGATGAGATGAAAAGCTGTAAGCCTTCTCCCTGAAAGCTGGCTGCCTTGGATCAACGTCTAGCGCGAGCTAGGCGCCAAGGTATTGGTCCAGTGTGGTGAGAATGGTAAAGCACTGCGTACTTTGTTCCAAGGTTCGTAGGTTCGAGTCTCCTTCGGCCAGAGATCAGTGTTTGTGTATATTTCGCCTGCTCTTGCGAATTCCTTGCATACATACATACATATATATATATATATATATATATATATATATATATATATATATATATATATATATATATATATATATATGCATTGGTGTCCGCAAGTTATCACAGATTGCGCTACCTGCTTTTCTGTCCTCATGTATTGCATCCAGAAAGCTTGTAGCAGCAATTCTCCCTGAACATCTTAGGGACAAGATTAGAGTCCAGGACCAAAAGTTCACTGACCGAGCCATGATCTGGGATAATCTAACGGGCTCTGAAACCAGACCTGCTCCCCCCAACAACTACAAACAATCGCAATGGGATGGTTCAATAGTGGAAAATATAGCCTCAACAATGCTTCAGTGTGTGTCAGGGAAGGATAGAGCCCGACTCCTGGCAGTGAGAGCTCCTCATGCAGGGGACTTTCTGTTGGCTGTTCCCAACTCCAGCCTTGGCACACGCCTTGACCCACAGACCATCCGCATCGGTGTTGCCCTTCGACTTGCCGCCCCTATTCTCGCCGAACACAGGTGTATTTGTGGCAGTGAAGCAGCAGACCGATTCGGGTACCATGGTCTTGTGTGCCGTAAATCCGAGGGATAAATTGCAAGACAGGAGGTTAATAACATTATCAAGAGGAGCCTCACAGCCGGATGCCCAGCAGTAAGGGAGCCACCTCAGCTTGGCGGATCTGATGGCAGCCAGAAGCGTCCAGATGGTATCACCCTTCAAGCCTGGACAGATGGGAAGCAGGTGGTGTGGGACTATACATGTGCATCTACCTTGGCTGATACCTATCTCCAGTACATCAGGGAGGAAGGAGGGGCAGCTGCCAGCTTCAGGGAGTCCCAAAAGTCTAGAAAATATGGAGAACTTGCCTATCATTATATGTTTGTTCCCATAGGCTCAGAGACCCTTGGCTCATGGGGAAAGAATGTATCCAAATTCCTTAAGGAACTGGGAAAAAGACTCATCAGGGTAACTAGGGATCCCAGGGCAGCTAGTTTTCTGTTCCAGCGGCTCAGTGCGGCTGTTCAAAGGGGTAATGCCTGCTGTATTTTGGGCACACGCTCCAGCTCTGAGGAGCTGGATGAGATTTTCGCCTTATAATCGGTGATACACACGTAACAACATGTACCGTATATGCCACCTTTATATCAACAATGTATCTCTTAAATCTTCTGTACCATATTATGTAATAAAATATTCATATTGGTAAAAAAATACGAAAAGATGGGGTGGTAGGGGAAGGGGAATATTCAAACGGCCTCGGGAAGAAATCCAAATATTCTTCCTTGAAGCCTTTTTATCCACTTCTCTGAGGCCTTTGATCCCACAATTTACCCCAAGGGGTGACCCCATCATATATAATATATATATATATATATATAAATATATATATATATTATATAATATATATATATATATATATATATATACTAATGAGAGCAGCACTGAACATGCAAAACTGACGTATATCTGACTCTTCTAAACACCTGGAGTTTAATTTACTCTGCATTAAATATTAATGTATCCTTGACAGGTTGTGTGAACAGGTGACGTGTCCTCATTGACCACTCCCTGGTGAATCCGTCTTGAAACCTAATTAACCATCGCGACCCACGACCTGCTACGTACACATATGTTTAATAAGTATTTACAAGGTAGGTATGAGCGACGCAGGTGCCGGGAAGGGAACATAATTAGAGGTTTAGCAAAAAATGGAAGACTTGTGCAAGAGTGAGAGAGAAAGTGTAACAGTGAAGCAGGTGGTTAGGTCATGCTTGCCCGGAGTGCGTACTGACCTAGTGACATCAGTGTTTGTGATGCTAGTCTGTGACCACTGTGACGCTAGTCTGTGACCACTGTGACGCTGGTCTGTGACGCTAGTCTGTGACCACTGTGACACTGGTCTGTGACCACTGTGACGCTAGTCTGTGACCACTGTGACGCTAGTCTGTGACCACTGTGACGCTGGTCTGTGACCACTGTGACGCTGGTCTGTGACCACTGTGACGCTGGTCTGTGACCACTGTGACGCTAGTCTGTGACCACTGTGACTGGTCTGTGACCACTGTGACGCTAGTCTGTGACCACTGTGACGCTGGGCTGTGACCACTGTGAGGCAGTCTGTGACCACTGTGAACTGGCTGTGACACTGTGATGCTAGTCGGACCATTGATGCGGGTTGTGACGTAGGCGTGACATGTGTGCTAGTCTGTGACCACTGTGATGCTGTTATGTGACCACTGTGACGCTAGTCTGACCACAGTGATGCTGGTCTGTGACCACTGTTACGCTAGTCTGTGATGCAAGTGTGTGACCACTGTGATGCTAGTCTGTGACCACTGTGACGCTAGTCTGTGACCACTGTGGCGCTAATCTGCTACCACTGTGACGCTAGTCTGTGACCACTGTGACGCTAGTCTGTGACCACTGTGACGCTAGTCTGTGATGCTGGTCTGTGACCACTGTGACGCTAGTCTGTGATCACGGTTTGTGATGCTAGTCTGTGACAACTGACGCTAGTCTATGACATCAGTCTGACGCCATTGTCTGTGACACCCCTATCTGTGACACCACTGTCCGTGACACCACTCTGTAACACCACTGTATACGACGCCACTATGTGACACCACTGTAACGTCACTGTCTGTGTTTTAAACCCCTGAGAAGTACCTAGTGACATCAGTTTATCAGTGATGAGTATCAGTCATTAAACAAGGTGACATCACCACCTGACACTGACAGTGACAGCAAGTTTGGCACTGACAGTGTCAGTAAATCTGGCACTGACAGTGTCAGCAAGTCTTGCACTGGCAGTGACAGTGTCAGCAAGTCTGGCAGTGACAGTGTCAGCAAGTCTGGCAGTGACAGTGTCAGCAAGTCTGGCAGTGACAGTGTCAGCAAGTCTGGCATTGGCAGTGTCAGCACACACACACACACACACACCATAACACACACACACAACCCCACACACACACACACCACACACACACACACACACACACACCACACACACACACACACACAGAGGGGGGACACAGAAACAAGGGGTCACAATTGGAAGCTGAAGACTCAGACGAGTCACAGGGACGTTAGGAAGTATTTCTTCAGTCATAGAGTCGTCAGGAAGTGGGATAGCCTAGCAAGTGAAGTAGTGGAGGCAGGAACCATACATAGTTTTAAGAAGAGGCATGACAAAGCTCAGGGAGCAGAGAGGGAGAGGACCTAGTAGCGATCATGAAGAGGCGGGCCAGAGCTGAGTCTCGACCCCTGCAACCACAATTAGGTGAGTACAATTAGGTGAAATATAGACACACACACACACACACATACACACACACACACACACACACACACACATACACACATACCACATACACATACACAACACACACACACACCCCCACACCAACACACACACACACACACACACACACACCACACATACACATACACATACACATACACCCCACACACACACACACACACACACCACACACACACACACACACACACACAAACACACACACAAACACACACACACACACACACATACACACATACACATACACATACACAACACACACACACACACACACACACACACACACACACACACACACACACACACACACACACACACACTACAAAGATAAGTCAGTTAAGGTGTTAGCTGGTAAGATGAGTGTTCGAGGTAAACACGTCACCTTGGGTAAAGTGCAGTATAACTGTGAGGTTAGTGAGAGAGTTGACCAAGTAAGACGACTGTACAACAAGGTAATATCTGCAGTGTAATACTTCCCATTACCAGAGTTAAGCAATGTTTACCTACCTGAAGTCTACCTAGAAGGTATTCCAGGGATCAACGCCCCCGCGGCCCGGTCCACGACCAGGCCTCCCGGTGGATCAGGGCCTGATCAACCAGGATGTTACTGCTAGTTGCACGTAGTCCAACGTACGAACCACAGCCCGCCTGATCCGGCATAGACTTTATCTCTCCAGCTCCCTCTTGAAGACACTCAGGGGCCTATTGGTAATTCCCGTTATGCATTTTGGGAGGCTATTGAACAGTCTTGGACCCCGGACACTTATGTGTGTAAAGTGATAATATTATTATCATTATTACTATTATTAATTAATATTATTATCGTTTTTTTCTCGGAGGTTTATCTTCATGATTTAACATAGATATTATTTATCTGTTACGAGTGTGTGTACTCGCCTAATTGTGGTTGAAGGGGTCGAATCATAGCTCCTGGCCTCGTGGGTCCTATCATACCTATTCTTTGAACTGTGTATTGAGTTTGCCTCTACCACTTCATCTAGCTCATTGAATTTATTTACCACCCTCAGACTGAAAAAGTATTTCCTAATATCCCTGTTGCTCATCTGTGTCTTTAGCTTCCATCTATGACTTCTCGCCTCTGTGCTCCGTCAAAGCATCTGAATATCTTTTATGTCGTAAACATGTCTCCCCATGTCCTTTCTCCTAAAGTCATTAGGCTCAGTTCCTTTAGTCTCCATAACTCAATCACCTCAGCTCTGAGACAAATCTTCTTGTGAACCTGTGAACCTATTTCAGCTTTTCTATATGCGTGATCATGGTCGGGTTCCATGCTGGTGCTGCATACATCACGACTCTAAGATATGTCCTTATTCAGGGTTCTGAGGGCAGTTCTGAGATTACCCTCGCATATGCTATAGATGCTATTCGATTTATGTACACCTCTGGTGATATGTTGGGTGTGATGTTCACTTCAAGATCTTCATCCTTGAGTGATATCTGTAGTTCCTGACAGCAATGTGCTGCTACACTATTCCATACGAAAGTTGCACAACGGGAACACCAGTACTGTATTACTACACTGTACAATAGTTACACAGGAGGAACATAAGCTACCTATGTTTCCCTGTCACATTCCATCACGCAGGACGTGGTTCATACAGGTGGTGAAGTGTATCAACCAGTGTGGTGTGTGGTGGTGATCTTAACAGTGTGGTGCGTGGTGGTGAACTTAACACAGTGTGGTGTGTGTTGGTGATCTTAACACAGTGTGGTGTGTGGTGATCTTAACACAGTGTGGTGTGTGGTGGTGATCTTAACAGACAGTGTGGTGTGTGGTGGTGATCTTAACAGTGTGGTGGGTGGTGGTGATCTTAACACAGTGTGGTGTGGTGGTGATCTTAACAGACAGTGTGGTGTGTGGTGGTGATCTTAACAGTGTGGTGCGTGGTGGTGATCTTAACAGTGTGGAGCGTGGTGGTGAACTTAACACAGTGTGGTGTGTGGTGGTGATCTTAACAGTGTGGTGTGTGGTGGTGATCTTAACACAGTGTGGTGTGTGGTGGCGATCTTAACACAGTGTGGTGTGGTGGTGATCTTAACACAGTGTGGTGTGTGGTGGTGATCTTAACACAGTGTGGTGTGGTGGTGATTTTAACACAGTGTGGTGTGTGGTGGTGATCTTAACACAGTGTGGTGTGTGGTGGTGATCTTAACAGACAGTGTAGTGCGTGGTGGTGATCTTAACACAGTGTGGTGTGTGGTGATCTTAACACAGTGTGGTGTGTGGTGGTGATCTTAACAAAGTGTGGTGTGTGGTGGTGATCTTAACAGACAGTGTGGTGTGTGGTGGTGATCTTAACACAGTGTGGTGTGTGGTGGTGATCTTAACACAGTGTGGTGTGTGGTGATCTTAACACAGTGTGGTGTGTGGTGGTGATCTTAACACAGTGTGGTGCGTGGTGTTGATCCTAACAGAGAGTGTGGTGTGTGGTGGTGATCTTAACAGACAGTGTGGTGTGTGGTGGTGATCTTAACAGACTGTGTGGTGCGTGGTGGTGATCTTAACACAATGTGGTGTGTGGTGGTGATCTTAACACAGTGTGGTGTGTGGTGGTGATCTTAACACAGTGTGGTGTGTGGTGATGATCTTAACACAGTGTGGTGTGTGGTGGTGATCTTAACACAGTGTGGTGTGTGGTGGTGATCTTAACAGACAGTGTAGTGCGTGGTGGTGATCTTAACACAGTGTGGTGTGTGGTGATCTTAACACAGTGTGGTGTGTGGTGGTGATCTTAACAAAGTGTGGTGTGTGGTGGTGATCTTAACAGACAGTGTGGTGTGTGGTGGTGATCTTAACACAGTGTGGTGTGTGGTGGTGATCTTAACACAGTGTGGTGTGTGGTGATCTTAACACAGTGTGGTGTGTGGTGGTGATCTTAACACAGTGTGGTGCGTGGTGTTGATCCTAACAGAGAGTGTGGTGTGTGGTGGTGATCTTAACAGACAGTGTGGTGTGTGGTGGTGATCTTAACAGACTGTGTGGTGTGTGGTGGTGATCTTAACACAATGTGGTGTGTGGTGGTGATCTTAACACAGTGTGGTGTGTGGTGGTGATCTTAACACAGTGTGGTGTGTGGTGGTGATCTTAACACAGTGTGGTGTGTGGTGGTGATCTTAACACAGTGTGGTGTGTGGTGGTGATCTTAACAAAGTGTGGTGTGTGGTAGTGATCTTAACAGACAGTGTGGTGTGTGGTGGTGATCTTAACACAGTGTGGTGTGTGGTGGTGATCTTAACAAAGTGTGGTGTGTGGTAGTGATCTTAACAGACAGTGTGGTGTGTGTTGGTGATCTTAACAAGTGTGATGTGTGG